TGTAGAAAGAGTATCTATATTACCTTGAAATGAAGGTAGTTGTTGGTTTTGAGGTGGTATTTGAGGTGGTGGGATAGAAGGTTGACTTTCTGTTGCATAAATAGAAGATATTGATGGTAGTTGATGAGAACGTTCTAAAGGGTGAAGTAGAGGTTGGTTTAAAGGAATTGGAACTGGTTGGTTATAGTTTTGAGAATATGGGTAATAAGGTGACCGTTCCGGGGGATAATATGCATACGGAGATATCATAGACGTTTTCATCCTTAAAGGAGGCATACAAGAAAAATCTTTCACAAACACCTGCAAAACACTCAGTGTATTTACATTTTCTGACCATCTATCAAGAATTGGATGACAAATAACTGTATTTGGCATTGCATACGGATGTCCTGGAACAACTTCCATTTCTGGTGTTGGGTCAGTAAAAAAAAGAGGAGGAGTAAATGAATAGTCATATGGATACATAATACATAACGGTAAACAAAATCGATTACCTCGATACACTATTGGTATTGTTCCTACTAATGCAGCAAGGATAATTCCATCAGCATAAGTTGTTATTAAGGGAATAGAATCTATTCATGTTAATATCGTGAATGTAAATAGTAAAGATATTATAATAATATAGATTTAATTATTATAATTAGAATAAAATTTCATTTTTTACTATCTTTTATTAATTTTTCATGTGTTTTAATAGTGTTATTTTGTTTTAACCAAAAAAGTGTGCCGTTGAATAATTTAATTTCACTGTCTTGATATTTTTCTATCATTTTTATTTAATTTGAAAAACAGTTTAAAGATTATTTTTGATACTATTGAGATTGAAACAAAACCATATTTATAAATTATTATCTTTTTTCATTTTTATATATACTTTTCATGTTTATTTCAAAATCAAGAAATTTAGTACAAATAAAGAAGATAGATAAACAAATAAGAAAGTCACTAGTCAAACTCAAATTATATAGTAGAAACATCAATAAAAGTAGATTACATGTTACAATAAATGAATTGAGAATGGGATTAATGTTAATACGAAATGAATGTGCTAATGAAATAATAAGAATATATTTAAAATATAAAGATCAAATACAGAAATATGAGAAATGATAGAAGCAGTAAAAGATAATCAAATTGAATAATTAAAAGAATGAAGAGAACATTTGGTATGAAAATTAATTTCAATGAATTAATGAATATAATACAGTTAAATGAAATAAAACATGATGTAAACAATGTATTTGAATTTATAACAAATAAAATAAAAGATATTTAAATGAATTGAAAGAAATGTAGTGAATATATAAGAAATGTAAATTGTATATTTAATAATAAGAAATTAACAGTAGCCACATGGTGGTCATTAAATATAAAAAGAAATGCATTCCTCCAAGTAGTAAAGATGCAAGAATGAGTAAATATGACAAGAAATATTAAATCTAAAATACTTTTTATTGATATATTAAAATATTGTAAACTTTGTTATATCAATATTCTATCTATTAATCATATATTGTTATAATGTAATGAAGAAGAATCAAATATCAAAACATGAATATGTATGTAAACAAATATATAAACATATATTAATTACATATTTTAATGAATTTGATGAAATAGATTTTAATGCAATCATAAATGTATTAATAATAATGAAATTGTTATAAATTACATTAATGATTTATTAATTAATGACCTTTCTTTTAATGTTAGAATATCAGATAGACATTATCAAAAAAACATAAAGAAAAATGATATATTAATAATGTTGATATATATTAAGATAGAAACATTGAATTAAATTATATTTACAAAATAAATAAATACAAAGAATTACAAGAGAAGTTAACACAAAATAGAGAAATAATATATAGAAATAATCTATATTATTATCATTGAATTAATTTATGAATCAATAAGATTGCTACAACTAATAAAACTACAAATTAATTTCAACATTATACCACGAATATAAACATTAACAACATGAAAGATTTAATTTCATACACAGGAAATTATTGCAGCACATTGAAAGAACAACATTCTAAGAATTGTGTTGGAAATGAACTCTATTACCGAAATATAATATATTAAAAATCATTAAAATAATCACTTCTCAATAATCATTAAATCCAATTGTGGATATATCTACTATTGTCATTTTTATTTATTTAATAATTAGATTAAATTGAGTTGTTTATTCTTAAATAGAATTAAGTTCAAAAAGATGAAAAGAGAACCAATTAAAAAATATCAAAGGAAAACTAATGATTTCAATTGCTGTTATAACTGATAAAATGATTGAAATACGAATTTGTGTTAATTTAATTATTAATTAGTTATCACTATAACTAATATTAGTCAGTTATTATAAGATTTAAATAAGTATATTATAAGGCAAGTTAAGTAAATATAAAATGAAAATTATTATCATAAGTATTTAATATAAAGAAAAGTAATTTATTCAACAAGATGAAAATCTAAATAATAGGTAAACAGTTGATGGGTATAAATTCTTAAGACATACTGATGAGGTTAGTTGGTAGTGAATAAAGAACAATAGATGTTAAATCTAATAATATTTTATTAACTACTGTTTATTTCTTATTTTCTTTTTTATTAAAAAAGTATAAAATAATCTTTAATTATTATCAAATAACAATATTATTAATTTTATTACATAATATTGTTATTGAAAAATAATAAAAAGAAATGATATTTAATGAATAAAGTATAGTGATAAAATAATACATAAAATGATGTGTTATAAATGTGTATTTAAGTATTTAATCATCTTATTTATTTATTTTACAACATTATAACAAATATCACTTTTATATTTTAAATAACAAAATAAAAACAAGAAAATAGAATATAATAAAAAATAATAAATAACAAAACATCTCAACATATTAATGACACATCACAAAATAATAATATAAAAGAAAGTGAGAAAGAAATAGA